CCCCAAAACCCCAAAACCCCAAAACCCCAAAACCCCAAGGATCATCCAGAGATTGGCTTATCTAAAACTTGAATGGTCAATGCTGATTCTGCCAATTTCACTGATTTTCTGCCTATAACAAGTAAATAACCTCAGGTGTACTGATAAGTGTAGTCCTCCCAGCCTAGCTCATTGACTGAAACTATCGGAATTCCTTTCTTTCTGAGTAACCTCTTTTTAAAGTTATAGAATCCTTTCTCTTTAAGCTCAATGTTCATGTTTTGATCTGACTCGATCAGAATAGCGGACTTTAATCCGTCTAAACAGGTTAGCAAAGCATACTCTTGGGTGTGACAAGGAAGTCAACGTGAAGTGAATCATCAATTCTTTGGTTTTCTTGGAATTTCATCCTTAAGTCTATAAATTAACACTCGGAGAGGGTACCGTTGATCATGAGTTCACCTAGAGAATGATACTGAAAAGCTTACCCATATCTTTCTTTCACTTTTCGTGCTGGCAGTTATCAAGTTCAAGATACTTTTTCTTTGCCAAGTTTTGCACTGGCTTTGAAATTAGCTTGTCGAATTCAGGAGGATAAGCACCCATTTTGACTTTGCTCTTAACGAAGTAAAGGAACTGGTATAAATAAGCAGCCTCTTCTTCACTGAGAGGCTTGGAGAGTTTTAATCCTGGGAGTCTTTGGAACAAGATAGGGATCAAAGGGTTTGGATTATCGTCATTTTCCATATACGCAAGTGTCCATAGTGTCTTCACGTAGAGATCAGCTGGTATGTCCATGTAATCATCACATACTTGCTCTAGGTAATATTGGAATACAAGAGTTGGATCTTCTGCAGAGATATACCCATTTCTAGCAAGCTGGTAGACTAATTCAGTTGCTAGAGGAAGCTGGATAGTTTGATTTGGCTCTTTCTCAAAGATGCTATTCAAATATTTTAAGAATGGACTGACTTCTGCATCATTAACTTTCAGGATTTCAGTCATTACTCTTGAGACTTGGTTTAAATTCAGGTGCCTAATATCCACCTTAGAGCTTTTAATTTCCTTCAGAACTTTCTGTGTAAGTAGTTCCTTATACTCTCCATCAAAATGCTGGAATGAATCAATTACAAACCCAAAATAGGCAGAAATTCTTCCAGAGCAATATTCAATACAAGTTTTCTCCAAAATATCATTCTTAAAATTAATCTGTCTTTTACTGAGCATCAGCTTAGTCAAAGTCGCATTATTTGGCTTAGAATTTCTTTTATACAGGTCCTCTAGTCTATTAGAGAAGAAGTCAAGGACATCATTTTCGAATTTATCTGCAAGATCTTCATCCTCAAAAAGCCCTAGCCCCTGAATTTGTGCTATTCTTTCTATAACAGTAGTAGTCTCGTTAATCTCCATATTAGCTGCAATAAGCTTCATTTGGTCGAATATCTTCTTATAAATCTCTGGCTCTTCTGTATATTTTATCTCAATGAGGCTTGCTAAGAAGTCCCTCATTGTTGCATTTGGAACAGTAATGTACTTCTCCTCTTGGTTGATCCGGCTGATGATCCTGGAAGGACAGTACCTCATCTGAGTGAAGAACGGGACAAGAGTAATCAAGTCAACTAGAGGATATTCTGAAGTAGACTCGATTATACGAGTCTCATAACCGGCTATTATGTCAATGTGGATCTGCAATGGGAATTTAGACCTTCCAATTAATGAGAGTGATGACACTAGCTCAGATTTTGGAAGAGTGCTGATCGAACTGGAGAGGGTTTCAAGCGAAATGTTGAAAATATCAGTCGCTTTTGATGGTATGTCACCGAGAAGAGCGTCCTGGGCGCTCATGTTGGTCAAGCCATGTTCTCTTTGAGTTTTGAAGTATTGGTCATCAAAGATTTGATTAGTTTTCCTCATGATTTCTGTAATTTCACTTGATTTCATAGTTGAACCTTTACTTTTAAGCAAACTAGAGATCTCATCAAAAGTTGAAGGGATCTTTACACTGAATGGCCGATAAAGAGTAGTTATTTTAAACATTCTAGCTGTTTTGGCTGTATGCAACAATTTTAGAGACAACATATTTGTGGCTATTATTTATTATAATTAAAAGAGTTACTTGGGGTTTTGGGGTTTTGGGGTTTTGGGGTTTTGGGG